CAGAGAGCCTAATTTCGCCAGCATGTTCAGAAATAGTTCAAATTATGTTTTGACGATGACGCAAAAAATGAAATTATGAAAATTCCGCATTCAGACGACACAATAAAAAATAGAATTATACATATGTCAGATGATATTGAGAAAACAGTTTTTAATAAACTTTCTAAATCATATTATGCTTTATAAATTGATGAGTCGACTGATATCAGTGGTGTAGCTCACGTACTAGGATTTGTTTGATTCATTAATGAAAACAAAATATTGAATCAATTTTTATGCTGCAGACAACTTACAGAACGCACAACAGGACAGAATGTTTTTGACTCTATTTCATCATATTTATATAAATCTAATCTAACATGGAACCAATGTGTAGGAATCTGTACCGATGGTGCTCCTTCTATAATTGGTTCTATTAAAGAATTTATCACTTTTGCGAAGAATAAAAGTCCTAATATCATATCGACACACTGTTTTTAATACACCTACACATTATGTATCCTATAGGACAATTATGTGTCAATTGCACTTATAAAAAATGGTTTCTTCAAACAAATCATTACATTATAGAACAGGAGATTTGACCAATTCAAACGTGCTATAGAGTATTTTACAAACAAAAATATCATATGGCTAATCGACGAATTAATATATTATTCAATGATAGATGCGGAAAGGCATTTAAGATATCATTACAAAATTTATTATTTCAAAATTCAACAATAGTCAAAACACAATTACGATAGATTCCAAAAATAAAACGAATTAAAATATTATACAACAGAAGTTTAACTGCAGATTATGAAAAATTACACACCCATTATTGGAATAATATAATTTATTATGTATTAATAAAGGATCATAATATAACAGACACTGACTTAGAGCCTTTAAACAAATACAACTTAGAATCAAATATCATTTAAAATTTTAACAAAAACGATAAGATTTTCCAGACAGTTCAGATGAATTTTATGATTACATACAATATCAAAATGTAGTTCACAAATACGACCTCATCACAAGTAAAAAAGCAACTTCAAACCATTTTTTTTTTTCGTTGACAAATATGACACTATAAAAGATAAAATAAACTACATCAAAGAAGAATTTCAAATAATAAATGTAACATATGAACCTGAGCCAGATTGCTCTAGCGTTTGCAGACAACGCGATTGTCATCTGGGGATGCCTGAATTCGAACGATTTGTCCCTAAAAATCGGTTTGAATGATTGACTAAGCTTGAACTATCACAGGTGTCGACGGTACGTGAAACATTCCGTCTCTTCCGAGCAAATGTGGTAGCAACCTTTCGTCGCTGCGTGGAACGGGTCGCAGCGTTTATTAGTCATCATAAACTTCTCCATGATTTAATAGACGCACAGTGTTCCAGAAAGTTGATTTAGGGGGACAAAATTAAATTTTTTTGTGTCACTTATTAAACTTAAAATAGCATTTAATTGAAAGATAGTAAGCTATTGATTAGATAATATGGGTTTTGAAACCCGTAGCCCACACCATGCAGTGTACAGAATAACCTAACGGTCTATGATAAGGCTTTAAATAACAAGCTAAATTGTTCTTGTGTATAGTGTATTATTTAGTTCATACTGTCCATTGAATAAAATTGTATGAAATATTTTTCTTCAAACAAATTTATACAGTCATGGAAGGTATGTATATTTTGTATTCTTTATTTTAAGCTAGTTTTTACTTGTATAATTAAAGTTATTATATATGAAAATATTAGATAATTTTTTTTTTTTTTATATTAAAAGGTATGAAAAATAAGTAGATCATAGTAGAGGTTATGTATTAGTATTTTATTATAGCTTTATATGTCCTCTTAAAGAAATTATTTAGTTTTTTTGCGGTAATTTGCGGTTTATCATTTTAGAGCCTATATTAACATTGTTTTTGTACATAAATTGGAGAAAAATTGAATTTTAAAATAAATAAAACAAACCACAAAAATATTTTACTTTAAATAAAACATTTAACATATAATACATTTTACCTTGTTTTAGATAATAATATTTTAATTAAAAACCAAAATATTTTTGAAATGTTGAGAAATAAAAAAATAACAATTTCGAATTCAACCGATTGTCAGGAAGCAATTTTTTTATACATCCGTGAGATCATTGGTGATAAATGGGTCACGATGGAGCATGCGTTTAATGTAGCATTAAAACAAAGAATAAAAGGTTTTATTACCACCCTTATTAAAAAGTGGAGTAGTGCAGGTAGAAATTTAAAAACTTTTCAGTTAAAAAACAAAATCTGGCTTTCATTAAATTTTAATATATTTGGAGAAATTGAGACTAGAGAAAGTGTACAACAACCATCTACTAGTACTGGTCGGGGCCGTCCAAAAAAACTATTTTCGGAAAGTTGTGAACGTACTAAGAGAAGAAAAACTAAAAATTTGGCTACCGGAAGCACTACTCCAGAATTGTCATATGCAACTTGTACAAGACTTCATATGTCCGGAAAAAGAACAGCTGCTAATATAATTAAAGGAGCTATTGCATCATCACCAAACACCATACGCAGGGTAAAAAATTCTTATAAAACTGAAAAAAAAATCGAAAAATATACAGCAGAAGAAAGTTTGGCCATTTTAATCGACAACAAAATGAGTGTAAAACAATATAAAAATATTCGATTAGCGGCAAAAGAAAAAAAAGCGAATATTTTTGCACCGTATGACCACGTATTAAATGCAAAAAAAAATTGCTATCCAAAAAATATCCACATTACTGAAACATCATGTGAAGTGCCTTTGCAGGACTTATTAGATCACACAGTAATTCGAATCTTAAAAATTTCTAACATAAATATTCCCGTAAATATCTTTGATAATATTGAACTTATATGTAAATGGGGTTGTGATGGTAGTAGTGGCCATTCGCAATATAAACAAAAATTTAGTGAATCATCAACTACAACTGATTATGATCTATTCATGTTTTCAATGGTGCCATTACAATTACGGTTTACGGATGAATGTGGAGATAAACATATTATATGGAAAAATCCAAGATATTCTTCTACAAGGTTTTGTCGGCCGATTAAGTTTGAATTCAAAAAAGAATCCGTTATAAGTACACAAGAAGAAGTAGAAGCAGTAAAATCTGAAATTCTTAATTTACATCCCACTATTTACATGCATGGTACACAAGAAATCAAAATTAAACATACAATGATTTTTTCAATGATTGATGGAAAAGTAAATTTTTTTAAATAACTTTTATTTAAAATACCAGCTCATATTTATCATAATTACAATTTTAGGTAGCAAATTCTGTAACAAAAACATCAAGCCAAACATGTTTCATATGTGGCTGTACTCCCATACATATGAATAGACTTGAAAACATGGATAAATTTTCCGTTGACCCAGAAACATTTTCTTTTGGACTATCTACCCTACATGCATACATTCGATTTTTAGAATGTATATTACATATTGCATACAGATTAGAATTTAAAACATGGCAGGTACGGAGATAAATAAAAAAATAATAATACTGATGATAAAATGTAAATAATAATAATAATAATAATAATAATAAAATGATTTGCAGGTGAGATCGGTCGAAAATAAAGTTAAGTTTTCTGAAAGAAAAAGTATGATACAAAACAGATTTCGAACTGAAACCGGGCTATTAATTGATGTTGTTTTGGAAGGTAACCTACCGATAGATTTGTATAATAATTTTATAATAATGATCTTAAAAAATGACTCTTTATATTTTAAATACAGGTAAGGGAACGTCAAATGACGGAAACACTGCTCGTCGGTTTTTTAAAAATTGTGATAAAAGTGCAAATATTACGGGTGTTGATAAAAATCTAATTCAACGATTCGGAAATATCTTATTTGCTATGTCAAGTGGTCACGAAGTCAATGTACCAGAATTTAAAATGTATACTGCAGATACAGCAAAATTATTTATTTCTCTTTATCCTTGGTACAACATGCCTAGTAGTGTACATAAAATTCTTATACACGGAGCTGATGTAATAAATGCAGCACTCCTCCCTATAGGTAAAGTATAAAATCTTTAGTTATTTTAAAAGATTATAATACAAACAATTTTATTTTTTATATAAAGGACAGTTATCTGAAGAAGCAGCAGAAGCGAACAATAAAGAATACAAAAAGTTCAGAGAACACCATACTCGCAAAAATACACGTTATAATACAAATGAAGACCTAATACATATGCTATTAGTAGCCTCTGACCCATATTTATCTTCTATAAGAAAATTACCAAAAAAACCAATACGTGAGCTAACAGACGATGTAATGTCATTACTAATTTTACCAGATACTGAAATAGAAGAAGAAAATTACGAACCATCTGACGATGATGATGAAAATGATGGAGAAGATGGATTAGAAGAGGATAGTGTCAGTTCCAGTGATACAGATCTATAGAGTGAACTTTTCACATGTTAATTATATCATATTTATGTATATATTTTTACAGTTTGAAACATTTACGAAATTTAAATAGTAATATTTTTAATTTTTAAAATTAAATTTATTAAATAATTCATATATTCGGAAATCAATTTTTTTTTTTTTAAATTGATTAAATTTTTTTTTGATTTTATTTGATTTTATGAATGTACAATGTAAAATCTGAACCTAATATTGAAGTAAGTATCAAAATAAGTTGTATACAAAATAATTTTATACTTAAATAATTTTGTCCCCCTAAATCAACTTTCTGGAACACTGTGAGACGGTGCTAATCTTAAGTTCTGTCCTGGTAGCTGGGAATCTACAGCGTACATGCATAGGCCGGAAGACATAATAAGGTAAAATTACTTCACTGTTTTTACTACTGGCTCCCTAATTTTATATATTACAATATATATAATTTAATTTTAAGCTAAATGACCTTTTGTTTCTATTAGTTTAGAAAATTATGCAAAGAATATAATTATTTTTTTTTAGCAAAAACTCTGAATAGTACAAAACAGGATGACAGATACTCAAACAAGTAGTATTGGGTACTTTAAACAATCAGACTGTTTTCAGACAACGTATAAACCTTCAAAAAAGATACAGTGTGTATCAGAATTAAGTGAGAAAGATAAAGATTTAGTTCATCTAAGATCTGAAATTAATTTGAGCGAATTCAAAAATATTTGTTCCCATCACAGCTACTACTTTCTTAATGTGTTTGAAAGATATCAAACAATCTGTGTAGATCCCTTAAAAAAACACAAAAAGCCAATAAAGAAATCATTAAAAAGTGTATCTTTAAGTTTCTCAAAACAACTGATTGAAAAAAATATTCACATCAAAACTGTACAAAAGATATGTTCTACATGTTGAAACTTTTGTGAAGAAAAAATCAAAATCATTGAGAATACGAATCGTAAATCGGATGACAAACTTATGACTGAATTAGATTCATTAGATTCTAGAAATGTTTCTCTCTCACAAACAAATGCAACATTAGACGATTTGGGTTTAATACCAATTAAGCTTCATACTTTGACATCACATAGTAAGGGGTCGTATTACAAAAGAAAAGTTGATAATGTAACAAAAGAAGTGAGGAAAAAAATTTCAAAAGCACTAGATTATGACATAGAAGTTCCTGAAGACAAAGAAGAAGATAAAAACTAAGTTAAAAAAACATAGGATTTTGATAAGATGATGTCAAGAGAATTGTGAGAAAAGCGAGCTTTCAACTATTAGATGGCAATCAAATCCAGACAGCAACTGCTGTTTATGACTTTTGTAAAAGAAACATAGAAACTATTTTTTTACCCTGTTAGTCGGGGTATAAAATAGGCTATCGGTGTGTCCTGCCTGTCGTAAAAGACGACTAAAGGTAACGGGAAGGGACAACAGTGATGGTACATGTCACGTTTATTCGAAACTGTCCTTTCCATTTTTCTAAGATAAGTATTTAATTCCTTATTTGGTTTACTATTTGATTTATTAATTCGTTCACTTTTTCACTTGCTATTTCGTTACTATGTGATTTAATACTTCGATCCTATACATGATTGTATCAATACTATTTATTTAGAAACAATTCCGCACGAACAGAATCAGAAGCCTCTCGCTATACTGACCGACAGATTTCACAGCTTAATCCACAATTCAGTGGATGACATACCTGTTTTTTCAATTATTTATAGTGGAAGATGCATTTTTTTTTTCATTTTTGTCTTTGTCTTTCATCTTTGAGAAAACTGACTTTACCTTGTCCAGGTTTCAAGGTTACTAAAAGTATGCTTGGGTATCCCCAAACCTCTTTGACATGTGGCTACGTGTATATTAATCGGTTACACCAACCTAATTATTACAATCTTAAGAAACTTTCTCCTTACACTATCCTTATCCTAGCATCAGTAACAGCCATCCTTATATTGGTCACCATTTGTTTAAGTAAATACTTGTCATGTAATTTTTTTTAATAGAATTTATATGAATGGGTAAATTTTTTTGGAAAATATAGTATTAATCAATCATTACTGTATCAAACTTCTGTATCCCGTAGACGTAAGTTTAGATCTAAGATACTATCATCAAAGTATCCACATATGGCGGTATTGTAACTAGCACACCCGTAAGTTAACACATTGTACAAAACTAATTTAAGTTAGATTTAGTCGCAGGGACTGTTCAGTTTCACTTCGGGGGTATGTTGTGAACTGGCTTTTTGCTGCCTAATTTTAATTGTGTACTTTAATAGTATATATATTAATCATGGGAACGGAAGCCCATTTTTAGTTAAAGTAAATCATTAAAATTAATTCAGTTCAGCATATTTCAATTATGTAGAATCTTTTTAAGCACTAAAAGTTACTGATTACTATTATTTCTATTTAAGTTATCTATTACAATAAAACTGCAAAAAAAAAAATTGAGCTTTTCTGATAAATTTACAGTAATTAGTAATTATACAATTTCCTGACTGCATATTAATCTTAACAATATTATTTTTTGTATTCTCATAAACTTTTCTATTTAATAATGTAAGTTTCAAAATTGAAGTCGAGCTAAAAGTTATGGTTAAATAAGTTAAATAAAACTAGGGCTGCGCGTAATAATTTAAATGAGATTTTAAATACAAAAGAAACTGTCGTATGAGAACCTAAAAGTGGATTGAGATAGCAACAAAAAACCATTCGAATGATCAACGGCCGTAATCCTGGACAATAACATTATCACAACTGATAGGATACAGCAGTATCATCAACTATTGAGCGATTCATATAAATAGCGTACAAGTTCCAAAAAGCACACGATGTTACAACAAATAAAAAAAAAAAAAATTCACCTCAAAAGAGCAAAACAGTTGTACAAAATTATTTAATTTCCGAACATAGTGTTCTTCGATGAGAACAATTTTCTAATTGAACAATTCATAAACTTCCAAAACATTTTTTTCAATGTTTAGTCACATGGATGACTATAGTTAATTGTAAAACTTAAATATTCACGATTGTACATATTAAACTTTTTGGCGAGTTTGATGATTTTTTGTATTTATATGAAATTATTATTGTTATTCCATACAAATCGTAAATTTGTAATTTTTGGCATTTTATGTTTTATTATTTATTATTAGTATTATGTGATGTACACGCTACTAACAGTTGCCGCTAGAGGCCGCTATAATAACCCACGACTTTAATAAAATATAATGTAATTAACTGTTTCCACTAGAGGCCGCTAAAATAAACCACGTATATAATAAAACTATTTGTAGTTCAATATAAGACTTTTTCGATTTCTTACTCAGAATAATGCTTGTCCTAAATAATTATTCATGTATTTTTCTATTTATTTATATGGAACACCCTTAATTTTTTTAATCCGATTTGTTGTTTTCTTAATAAAATATTAAACTACTAAACTATTTATCATCAAATGTATTACCTCTGCATACATTTAACATTTCAACAACAAAGCATATCAATATTATAAAAATTGAAAAAATTACTAGTTATGATAAAAAATAATTGGGGAATTTTTTCTAAAAACGAATATGTTTATGACAATTTAAGTATTACAATTTTTTATATTATAATAAATATTTGCATTATTTATATTTGTTGGTATCAGCAATCATGACATTTTGTTATAATAAAAAGTTAATGAATTTATTTTTTTATTTATCAACAAATAAATAAATATAGTACTTATTATGTATTTTACAAATATTTTGTAAAATTTTATAATTGTACATAACCACTCAAAAATATTTCTAAATGTAATTTAAAGGTATAATATATAATAAGTTTTTAAAACCTATTATTAATATTTCTAAAATATTTTATATTTAATCTAAAAGCGTTAATTTTCATGTTCTTAAAACAATTTAAAAATCTTCTTTCTTTTTCTTCCTCGCCTTAATCCTAACTACTTGGGATCGGCCACCCTTATCCTAAACTTCCACTTGACACGATCTCCCAAATCATCTACGCTCACATCAGCTGTCCTCATGCAATATCTCATATCCTGTTGTCCTCGCGTACATCCGAGATGGGACAATTCGCCTAAGTTTTGTTCAGGACACCTCATACTATTTGACAAAAATTTTACACCGGCTGTCGATTTGACGCAACCTCATTAGTCGCCTCTTACGACTGACGAGGGGCTGTGGAAGTATTCTTATCTCCTATCCACAGTGATAAGTATATAAATATAAGGATTATTATAGGAATATTATAGAATTAAAAATATTTTTTTAATAATTTGAAACACATTTATAAAATATTTTAAAAATCATTTTTAATCTTATATAATAGATATTTTACAAAAACACATGTTATTCCAACATAAGTGTTTCCATGACAACAGCTTAGTTTAAAACGTAAATAAAATTCATATTTTTAAGAAGTTTCAGTTAATTAAACTTGTTTTATAATATTTAAGTAAGAATTTTGTATGTTAAATTATTCTTAAAAAATCACATTAGAAATTATTTTATAAAACAAAAGAATTAATTAAAAAATGTAACAACTAATATATATTAAAAGCGGACTGGTGAAGACCTTATAATACATTGTATTGCACATTAGGGCAACCCTTCTACAGTTAGAGTTTGACGTCCAATCAGCATCGGGTTTATGTATCACTATAATATAATAGAATATTTTATTATATATATTATATATAACAATGTAATATATTGGTGATTTTCAAATTTATATCATTAATTTAAAATTAAATTTAATTTGTATCTAACAATGAACACAAATGAATCATATATGGCAAACCTATTTGATAATGTTGAATCATGTATTGCATCAATCAAAATTGTTTTGACTGAGATTGAAGAAAAAAATTTGATTGATGAATCTGATCCATCGATATGTGAAGATATCAAAGCCTACATTAAAGAAGTTTTAAAAGACTACAATAGTATAGTTGAAAATTATGATGAAAAATCAGTTTTAAATAATCAAATATCTTCTATTAGTTGCGTCGAAAGTAATTAGATAAAAAATTAATTTCGTATAAATGTTGAAAATACTTTTTCTTTTAGAAACCAATGCATTGAATGTATTACAAGGGCTTTCAAGTGACGATAAGTTGATCTATGATGATAAAATAGATAAACTTAACACAAAAATAATACATTCCATAAAATTAACAAATGAAAAATTAAATAGATACCATAGTGAAAAGTAAGGTCCTGTAATTAATATTATTTTGTATGATATATCTAATATAAAGACTGTTCAATAAGTAAGGAAACAAGTTACTATTCTTTTCTTACCAGTTTTTTTACTTATTGATATATATTGGTATATGCTTATGTTAACAGCAAAATGCAAGTAGTTAAGTGTTAAATCACTTAAAAACTCAGCAAAAATGGCTATAAAAGCTTAAAAATTTGTATGATTAGTATCAATAAATAATTTTGATTCATTTTAAGAATAAAGCAAAAACTCATTTCCGTCTAGAAAAAAACAACACCATTCTACATTTTCTAATATTTTTACTGCGATTTAAAAATGTTTATCTTTTAAACTGTAGTTTAGAAATGAACTCTCAAATTATAAACATTTCGAAAGAGTTAGAAGTTCAGAGAGATATGCTAAATAATGAAATTAATAAGTTCAACAACATAGAAATGAAAAGATCCTGTTTGATAGATGATTGGAAAATAAGTCTAACACGTAAAAATGAAAAAAATAAATTATTAATTAATGAAGCCTACAAATTGATGCTTGATTATCAGAATTCAGCGTAAGCTAATATTTTATCTAATGAACAAAAAAATTAGTGGCATCGATTCCTATAGATATGTGTTGTGAATGCTATACATTTTTGTAAAGGTATCATAAAGGGGTGGTAGAGCAGAT